ATTTGAAAATAATTCGTGACTATGAACAAAATCCTGAGTTGTGACCTGGGCTGTGACTTGTGACCTAAGTTGTGACCCGAGTTGTGATTTGTGAATTGGACTGTGACCTGAGTTGTGACCTAGACTGTAACTTGTGACCTGAGTCGTTGGAATCTGAACTGTCGCCGGAAACGATAATCGAAATCTGAGTAGTCGTCGAAACGATCGCTAGAGAAATCGTCGGAATCGGAGCAGTAGCCGGAGCGATCACCGGACTGGTAGGGGTGGTGGAGGTGGGGGTGGGTTAATTGTATTTGTTATTTTTGAAATAAAGTAAAGTAAAAGTAGGATAAATGAATTTTTCCCATAATATTATCCTCAGTAGCAAGTCCAATAACACTAAGACTGCAAGTTTAGGGATGGCAACGGGGCGGGTATGGGATGGGGTGATCATTCCCACCCCCGTCCCGTCGGGTATTTTTGTTACCTTACCCCACCCCCATACCCTGTTAAAGCGGGACGGGGCGGGGCCAGTCCCATGCCCCATTTATTTTTCTTTTTATTTTTTATTTTTTTATTTTTTTTAATGTCTTTAGCTAGTAAATATTACTATTTTTTTTACCAATTTGTTAAAAATAACTTATGTTCCCTTTAAAAATGATGATAAATTTATTATTTTTGTTTGATAAAAAAATTAAATTTGAAATTAACTTCAAACGGGGTAGGTAGCGGGGCGGGGTCTATGTTTTCCGTACCCGCTTCGGGGTAATGACTCTCGTCCCCACCCCGTTTACCCGATTATGCGGGTAATCCCCGTCCCATGTGGGGCGGGGCCCCATGGGTATCGAGTTGAACGGATTTTTTTGCCATCCCTAACTGGAAGCAGCTATAGTCCTATACCGGTCCCTAATCTCTTACCTAAGCTGTTCTCTCTCCCAACTACAATATCCATTAAAAAACTTGAAGTCATCTACTTGTACCATTTCCCTTTTCACCATGTCAGCTGCAAAGCCCACACTGGCTTTCGTCCCGAAATACAACCATTTCATTACCTCGTCGAAAACCCCACTTTTCTTAACCG